ACGCCCGCGCTGCCTGCCTGTGCGCGCCGCCGCTGCCGCAGCACCTCTCCCTGCTCCGCCGCTGCTCTCCACTCCAACAGCTGAGCCTGTAGCTTGTGGTTGCTGAGACTGCTCCCCCTCGGTTCAGCAGCCCGGATCCTGGGGGATGGGATCAGTCGGTCTGTCTGTCTGTCTGTCTGCCCCCCGGCGGCCCGAGGGGGTCCCTACGAGAGCCCCGGCCCTCGTCCGCGCGGCTGTAGTCCTCTTGTGGGGGCCGTGCCGCCCCGGAGCCGCCGTAATGACTCTGTTAGCGCCTCGGGGAGCGACACGCACGCCCGCTCGCCCCGCTCGCACGAGCACACTCGGCGCCGCGGGACCTCATCATCGGGAGAGCGGCAGAGGGGGTTGGATGTGTATATATATGGGGTTGCGGTGCGGCAGACACGGGTGGCGAAAGGGGTGCGATGGGGCGCTCTGCGACTGGCGCGACCGAGGCGGAGACGGAGAGGTAGTTGAGCCAGCGGCGCGGCTGTCTGCGGCCGGCCTGCGGGCGGGGCGGCGAGGGACGGGGCGGACACCCGGCACCCGGCGGGACACCGCGGGCCGGGCGGGGCGGGGGCCCCCCAAAGTTATCCACTTGGGCCTGGTCGTAAGGACAGCTGCTCTGGCCCCGTCCGCCCCCGGCGCCCCGTCCCGCCGGCCCCGCCCCGCACAGAGACCACACCATACCACACCGCCGGCTGGCTTGCCTCTGGCTTACGGGCGGCTTCTTGAAAGTTGTACCCCAGGCCCCTCCTCCGGGGTGCTGCGTGGCGGGGCGGGGCGGGGCAGGGCAGGGATGTGTTGGAGGGTGCTGCTTCTGCTTGCTGTACTGTGTCTGGGCCGAGTGGCGGGGAGGCTGCTGGCCCGGCTGGCCTGGCCGGCCGAGCGCGGAGCGGTGAGGTTCGATTAATTGGTCGATTAATCTGGGGCCGCTGCGATTAGCGAGCCGCGTAATGGGCGCGCGATGATCGGGTTACGGTGCGCTGCGGTGCGCTGCGGCCGGCCCCGGGTGTACGGTACGGTACGGGTACGGAGGGCCCCGCAGGTCAGAGCTGCGGTGGCGTAACGTCACTGGTGAAAAATGAAAAGGGCGTGAGTCCACGGACTTTGCATTATTGGATTTACGCCCCTTTTCACTTTTCACCAGGGATGTGTCGTCTGCTGCTGTGGCAATTTTCGCCTGTGATGCGAACACGGCGAGTGAGAGAGCGAGAGAGAGCTTCACTGCTGCCGGGGTGGCCTCCGCTCCCAGCCCGGGCCGCCACCGCCGCCGCCGCCCAACCTCTGCGCGCGCGCCAGCCGAATATTAATGCAGAGATTGGGGAGGTGAGGCCCGGGCAGACAGGGGTTGAGAGTGAGTGAGAGTGAGAGAGAGAGGGACGAGGAGGATGGGCAGCAGCTGAGCCTGTAAGCGGCCTGTGAGGTGAGGTGGGGCGTGGCTGGTGGTGGTGTGCCTCTGTGGGAGCAGGGCAGCTGTGGTGTGGTGGTGGTGAGAGAGGCAGTGAATGAACAAGGCTTTGCGTGGCAATAAAACGTAACAACTTTATTCCAATCATCGTTATTATAATAATCGTCAGTAATAATAATAACTTCTCTGGTACAATGTGCGGCGGACGGGTACCTCTCCTCACTCTATTCCTCCTCTAGTCGTCTAGGAGAGGGCTCTCCGTCGGGCAAGGGGCAGTGGAGGGGAAGCTGCAGTGTTGCCGACTTCGGCACGGGCCAGAGCCTCCGCCGCGCAGTACTGCGTTTAGTGGGAGCACTGGTCCTTGCCGTTGGCAACACTGCTGCCGGCATCGACGAGGGAGAAGAATGGGAGGGCAAAAAAAAGGAGGGAAGCGAAGGAACGCGGGTGAACTAGTATGCCGTCGTTGGCCTGACTGGGGCACTTGACAAAGTAATGGAAGTCAATTTTCCAGATAAAGTAGAAGGCGGATCGGGCGAGACTAAGAAGAAAAGGGTGAAGGAAACAAAGTCGGGTGCCCCCCTGCTGCTGCCCGACGCAAGCCCTCGAGGCGCCTATGCTGTAGCTTCCTGATAGCGTCCGTCGCGCCTCAGAGCCGGGGGCGCCGCCGCGGCCCGCGGTGCGGCGGGGTGCAGAACGCTCGCGTGCCCAGCTACCTGGTCGCCATGGCGACGTGTGTCGCGCGCCGCAGCTGGCCGCAGGTGCGTCGCGCCACTGCTGTCCGCAGCTGTGCAGCTGGAATGCAGGCTGCTGCTGCAGCGGGACGCACCTGCGGCCGCCACCGCTGCTCCACGCGTCCTTTCCCATGTTGGGACGACGATGATGGTGTGAGAGAAAAAAAGCCACCCTCATCCGGTCACCATGGCGACCACTACGGCAGTGTTCCTTAACAATAATTTAGAGAGACATGAAAGTAAGGTGTTTGCAATGATTTTTTTTTCTCAAAAGTTTTTGTGCGCGTGCTGCTTGTACATGGGCATTTACACATCACAGTACAACAGTGCGAGAGTAAGATTATGCTATAGGAGTAGTTTGGCGCAGAAATTACATTCGGCGCCGGGATCACAGAACGCGTTTGTTCGTCTCTTATGACTATGACATATGACCGTCAGTCACTTTCGTTACTTTCGGGTCTTTCCTTTCGTTGTCTCTCGCACATTCCTAGATGAACTCTCTTGTTCCCTCTGAGAGCTTTAATGATACACACTGACACAAACACACACACATACCATACCCTTTTCGGTAGCGTATTCACGGTGCGAGAATCCAACTCGTTCAATAAAAATAACAAGGCAATTATAACAATAAAGCTCTATAAGTAATAGTACATTTTCTTATACAAGTTAAAATATCGTCTGAAACGTGAAGCGGGATTCACGAGCAGTCTTAGCGGTCGCGGTCGCGGTCGCATGGAGGTCGGGTTAGGCGGCAGCCACCACCCCCTGGCTGCGCCCCCAGCCCAGAGGGCCTCAGCGGGGTCTCCAGTGGTTCCCCCGGCGGGGGTCGGTTCCTCGGCATGACTGAGACCCATATTATTCGACCCCGCTCTCTATCTCTCTCTTTCTCTCCCTCTTTTTCTCTCCCTCTCTTTCTCTCCCTCTCTTTCTCTCCCTCTCTGTCTCTCCTTCTTTTGGTATACAGTGAGTAATTAAAAGGAGTATATCACAAACGGTGAAAATGCAGCATTCGGGTTGTGGTTGGCGGCGGTATACGTCCACTGCCCTATGAGGAGGAAGTGATTTTGACTCTCATCAAGCCAAATAATAAAGAAAGGAGATGAAATTTTAAATGTTATATCAATTTTCAATGTTAGTCTAGTGATTGTATGGTTTTTGCCGAGAGGGGACGTATTCGTCGATGGGTGAGAATGCGTCCTGCTCGGGGTCCGCTGGGTCCGGGCCGCGCTGCCCGTAGCGCCAGGTGCGCCACTTTCTCAGCCGCGACGTGCCTGCGGCCTGCGCAGCGCGGCTCGTGTTTCGTTTCGCACTCGTGTGCGACCGGGCCGGCGACCAGGCAGGCCAGGCCGTGCTATGCTAGGTCGATGCCTGCCTGGGGCTGGTAGGGTCTGGTCCGTCTTCTGGACCACGAAACACGTCGCTGTTGCTGTACGCGGCGACGTCTTGCTTGTCATGTCAGCATGTCAGTCGGACGGCTCGGCCGCTCGGCCTGGACCAGCCCGCAATGGCTAATAATCCTTATACCCCCCCCCCCCATCCCCCTTTTCCCTCCTTCAATTTCTCGTCCCGTTCTCGCCTCGCCTTCTGCCTCTGCCTCGCGGTCGCATTCAACTCATCTCAAAATATAATGGCCCTCTCTCGTCACTTCAATTATTTAGGGCAGCAGTCAATTTAAAGTAAAAAATCTTCACAAGAGTAGGTTAACTTTTTTTTTTCATTTTTGTTAAGTAATTGGCGTCAGTCACAATGGAGAAAAGAAAAGCAAGGAAATAACCTCGAAACAACTGTATCAGCAACGACGGTACACACGCAGTCTGGCTCATTACTACTTTTGAGCTTTACATCAGACGTTGATATCTCAGTGGGGATCACAAACTTGGATTTCGTAGACAATATCGGGGAGGGTCGCAGGAGTTTACTCACTCGGCTTTTTGTGTCTTTTTGTCTTCATCTTGCTCACTGCAGAAGCTGCCCCTTTTCACACTCACTACACTTAAACGTTCCACACGATGATGCGTTTGGTCGCGTCGTTCGCTCATGCGTCGGGCTCCGGTTCGCACGGCGTCTCGACGGCCTCGGCGGCGGGGATGTCGAGCGCCCCGTCCTGGTGCAGGTCGGTGAGGACGTCGACGAGGCGCTGCTCCGTCAGGGGGTCGCCGATGGCCACCTCGACCGACCCGATGCATAGCAGGATTGCGAGCAGCTTCGAGCGCTGCAGGTCGGCGTCGAGCTGGCGGCGGTCGTAGCCGTGCTCGACCTCCACGTCGACGCCCAGGCGTGCCGTCGTGGACGTGAACGTGCGCCAGTAGGTGTCGACCAGGTCCTGTAACAGGGGTGGCGGTGAGCGCGGGGGTCGAGGCAAGGGGTCGACGTGGACGTGCAACGGGCGACTTACCGTCTCATTGTCGCGGCGAAGCTGCGTGGGCAGCGAGCTCAGCAGCAGGAGGGCCACGTCGTTGGTGGGCCGCGAGTAGGTGGCCATCTGCCAGTCCAGCACGGCGCACTGCAGCTCGCCGTCGCCCTCCTGGTCCTTGAAGAGCAGGTTGTTGCACCAGAAGTCCGTGTGCGTGATGAGCGCGAGGCTGCCGCTCGGCGCCAGCAGCTCCGTCATCAGGTCCTTGGTGAGCGGGCGCAGGCGGGCGAGTGCGCGCGCCACGGCCTCCATGCCGGGCTGCCGCCGGAGGAAGTCGTCCACCTGTCGGGGGGCAGACGGGATTGGATTGTTGAGGAAGGGTTCGTCCGAAAAGTACGCCCGTTTTCTCGGATTCATTCGGCAAATTAAACGCGGAGAGCTCAGCGCCTGCGAGACTCGGGGTAGGCCACCCCGCAGCACACGCGTGCACTGCAGACGAGACATTGCCTACCCATCAGGCGCTATAAGAGCTTGCACTGGCTAAACTTGACAGTTTCGTAACGGCGAATGGCGGACGGGTCCTTTACTACTAATTCAAGCGTGTATAGATTTTTTCTGATATTCCCTAATTTTTTCCATATTTTCCGGATTGATTTTTTAAAAATGAAATACCCCTCGGGGCAGGCCTGGGGCTGAGCCAAGGGTCGCCGGGGGTTGGTACTCACCAGCGGCATGCCCCGCTCGACCAGCTCCTGGTACGACTCGCTGGCGCGCTCGGCGGCGAACAGGAACGGGTAACGCTCCGACAGGGGTCGCGCGTCGGGGTCGCGCAGCTTGAGCACGAGGGTGAGGGCGTGTAGGCGCGCCACGCTGGCGAGCGCGGCGCGCGCCTGGGCCAGCGTGAGGCCCAGCGAGAAGGGCTGGCCCTTGTAGCCGGCCGCCTTGAGGTTGTCCAGCACCAGCAGGCTCTCGGGCGCGGACACGTCGGTGGCGGGCGCGTACCGCGCGAAGTAGCAGCGCGGTATGGGCAGCGCCTGGTCCGGATCCAGCGCCTCCAGGTCGGGCACCACCTGCGGGGGGAGAGGGCGCGGGTCAGCCGGGCGAGCCAGGGCGGCTGTACGTACGAGGGAGTAGGGAGTACCACTCTACGGCACCCACCTTGGTGTAGAAGCTGATCTCGCGCAGGTCAAACTGGGCCTCGGTGACGAACACGCGCGAGAAGGGGTCGCTGGGCAGGAGCTTGACGACGAGCGCCAGGGTGTGGGACGTCTCCTCCGCCTCGCGGCCGCGGTCCACCGCCAGCAGCAGCTTGTAGTCCACCGTCACGGCCACGATGTCGCTGAGCACGCTCTCGTTGGACGCGCAGCCCGGGCGCACGGCGAAGTCCCCGACCTGTCATGGGCGGGTTAGTGTCGTCAAAAGCCCTGTGTCCATGGTGGTGGAGTGCGTGGCGTCGAGTTGTACCACTACTACACTCTACACTCACCTTGACGCACAGCTGCTGGTCCGTGGCGTAGCGCTGCCGGTGGTAGCAGCTCAGCACGTCCTCGAGCCACTCCTCGTTGATGGGGCACTCGTCGTCGAGCGACCCCTCGTCCTCGCTGTCCGTCATGGCCAGGCGGGGCGCGTCCGCCAGGTCCTGTGGAGGGCACAGAGGGCAAGGGCGCGGCGGCGTGAGGCTCGTGCAGGCAGAGGTCAGTGCCGGCGGGCAGTGCCAGGCCGGCGGGCAGGCGCGGGTCCCACGGGCCGCACCACGGGGCGCTTCCGATTGATTTGGTGCACTGATAGCACCGTGGAAAGGGAGAAGGGGGCGGGGGAGGGGGGCTGTTGACACTGGATACGCCATCAGGTATACTCCACCGCGCCTCACGCGATGGCTGTGTTGTTTCGACTCTGAGCCAGCCACGTGCAGGGGGGGGGGGAGTGGTGGCGGGAGGAAGGGGCACCCACCACCCCCGCGAGAAGACCTTGGAATGGGCGGCATGAAGTTTTTTGATGCCCCTTTACCTGTCGGTTGGCAACAATGCAGCCGGAGCAGGAGCCGCGGAGGATGGCCCGGCGCGGCGTGGCGGCGCCTCTTACTGCTCGTTTTAACGGCCGGAGCTAACTCGAGGCGATGGCGCGTGACGAGTTGTCAGTCGGGACCGGCGGGACGGAGCCGCGGGGCAGGGCGGGGCGGGGCGCATCTTCTGCTGCTCCGGGCTCTTAACGGGCGGAGCGCCGGCGGCGCCGCGAGGGCCGTCCTTATAAAAGTTTCGCAAGGTGCAAAGTGCAGTTCGTGCGCGGCAGTTTTGTGCTGCGCGCGTTGCTGTAAAAGCGAGCGCGCCCCGCGCGCCTTGCGCCTGTACCTCGTTGTTGCTGCACGACTGCAAGGTAAAGCTGCAAGTCGTCCTCTGAGGTGCAGGACCCCTTGCGCACTCACTGCTCCCCCCCCCCCTCTCCCCCCTCTGGACTTCCCTCGCCCCTCCTGTGCCCAGGGTCGAGACCCTCCTCCACCCGGCTCGCTCACCCGCGCCTCCCTGAAACGTGTCCGTCAAGATTAACGCGCGGCTGGACGGGACTTGCATGTCCTGATCGGATCTCACATGCATGTCAACCTGGAGGGGTAGGAGGGGAGGAGGCACGGCGCCGTCGTGGCGTCAGGTGACCTCAACCCACCCCTCCGCCCGCTGTCGCCCCCTCGCCGTCCGGATCCGCTTTGCTTCCGCTTCACTAATGCCTTTAGAGAATGCCATCGCGTTTATCTGCCGATGGGATCACCCTCCCCCGACCGTCGCCGAGTCCTCGCGTGATGACTATCGATTTGAAAATGAAATGTAAAGCACAGTCGGGGAGCTGGGTATCGCGTTCTCTCTCACTCATTTTTTTTAAATTTTATTTCTGTTGCCGCTGTGCCGTTTTTGTTTGAGGGACTGCTGCGGCTTTACAAGAGAAAATATACGTTTGCCGTATACATTGTATTGCGGGCGCTCTCCGGCACGCTGGCTGGACGGAAATAGCTTCGGCCGGCTGCTGCGCGCCTCCCGCTCCGCTCTCTGCTCCGCTGCTGTGCGGTTCTCTGTGGTGTGCCTCTGTGTGCCACTCACTCTCTGGAACGAAAGGCACCAGCAGCCGAGCCCGGCGGGGGCGGGGCGGGAGGGGTGGAGCAGGGCGGAGCACTCCCTCAACACTGCCTGTCTGTCACCGCGGCACCGGCAGGGCCGGGCCGGGCCGCGAGCGATATGATATGGGATGGGATGGCTCTCCCTCCGGATGGAGACGGTCTCCCTGCGGGTCCCCCCGGTGGAACCCCCGCGCCGCGCGCTCCGCCAGACACTTTGACAGCCCCGGGTGCCCCGGTCCCTTTTACCTGCAGCGATGGTGGCAGGCTGGTGCTCCTCTGTCGTCCCTCCAGGGCGCCGGCTGGGGGTGTTGCCTTCTCACATTCAGACGGGGGCGCCCGGGGCTACCACCCGCGGGGCTGGGGCTGGGTCGGCGCCGCCCCTGCCGCTCCTCCAGCGACGGTGCGTGGCCAGTGTCGCTGCTCCGTGCCGCTGCGTGACTCGCCCCGTGACTCGCTCGCTGGGCGCTCCGCTCTGCCACGCTGCCTCGACTCGACTAAAAGCCCCCCCGCCCCGGCGCGGCTGGCGCGGCCCGCGGCCCTGCCCGTCCTGTGGAGTGGGAGTGCGCGCCCTGGATGCGCGCGGCCTGCGCGGCCAGAGCGCGCTCACGCCCCCTCTCGCTCTCTCCCCCATACACTGCCCTGGCGTCTCTTTCTCTCTAGCCTTTATATTTTTCCGCGAATTCCCTCTCCTATATGTATTGCGCTGCGTTCACTCCCTTCCCCCCTCCCCC